TCACCATCATCATAGCCATCATCGTCATCAGCAGCATCGTCGCCAACACCATCACCACTCTCATCATCAGCAGCAGCATCAGCATCCAGCATTATCATCGTTACCACCATCATCGTCATCGTCATCATCATCATCATCAGCAGCAGCATCAGCCTCATCATTAGCATCAGCATCATCAACATCATCAGCATCAGCATTACTACCCTCACCATCAACAGCATCATCATCATCAGCATCAGCAGCATCAGCATCCTCAACATGACCACAATGACGATCACCATCATTTCCATCATTGTCGGTGACGTCATCATCAACACCATCACCACAACCACAACTACCACCACCATCAGCAGCATCAGCACCAGCATCATCATCATCATCATCATCAGCATCATCATCATCATCACCACCATCATGATCGTCGTCGGCGTCGTCGCCGACGTCGTCCTCATCAGCCTCAGCATCAACATCAGTATCAGCATTGCAATCATCATCAGTATCATTATCAGCAGCAGCAGCAGCCGCAGCATCAGCATCATCATCGGCATGCCCAGCGTCATCATCATCAGCAGCATTCGTCATCGTCATCGTCATCAACATCAACTATCGTCAGCAGCAGCATCGCCATCACCATCACCATCACCGTCATCATCAGCATCAGCATCACCATCATCTGCAGCAACATCAGCATCAATATCGTCATCGGCATGGTCACCACCATCATCACCGTCGTCATCGTCATCATCAGCAGCAGCATCATTAACGGAAGCATCATCAGCCGTATCAGCATCGTCATCATCATCATCACCGTCGTCATCACCAGTATCCGCATCATCATAGCCACCAACACCATCACCATCATCCCACCACCATCACCAGCATCATCATCCTCATCATCGGCATCATCATCAGAAGCATCCTCATCGTCGTCCTCTTCATCTTCATCATTATCATCATCAGCAGCATCATCATCAGCATTATCAGCATCATCATCCCTGACACCTCATCCCTCATCCCTGATCACTCATCCGTCACCCCTCATCCCTCGCCCTCCTCATCCAAATGCCCCATTATACCACTCCTCCTCCTCCTCCTCCTCCTCCTCCTCCTCCTCCTCCCCCACCTCCTCCTCCTCCTCCTCATCATCATCATCATAACCAGCATCATCATCAGCATCAGCATCGACATCAGCATCAGCATCATCATCACCACCATCATCACCACAATCGTCCGCCTCATCCTCCATCTCCGCCTTCGTACCCTCCTTCTCCTCCACCTCCTCCTCCTCCTCCTCCTCCTCCTCCTCCTCCTCCTCCCCCCCCCCTTCTCCTCCCTTTCCTGCTCCTCATCCTCCTCCTCCTCCACCTCCTCTTCCTCCTTCTCCTCCTCCTCCTCATTACAATCCCCCTTCTCCTTATTCTGATCCTCCTCCTCCTCCTCCTCCTCCTGCTCCTCCTCGTCCTTATCCTCGTCCTCCTCCTCCTCCTCCCTCCGCTTACTGTTCCTCACCATGTTCGTCCTCCTCCTCCTCCTCCTCATCGTCATCTTCCTTCTTCTCCTCCTCCTACTCCTCCGTCGCCGCCTCTGCCTCCTCCTCTTCCCCAGCACCATCATAATCCTCCTCTTCCACCTCCTCCAACTCCTCCTCGTCCTACCCCCTCCTCATCCTACTCTTCCTCATCCTCCTCCTCCTCATCCTACTCTTCTTAATGTGTTTCTACGGCTTCATATCATTGTTACCATATCATGATTATGTATAATATTCGTGTTAGTGTTAGTATGATTATTCGTAATATGTCATCCTCATTGTGAGCATTGTTATGATTAGACGTATTGATGTTATTAGTGATAGTGCTAGTTTTATTGTTGTTGATGGTAATATTGATATCATAGTCACTGTTAGTGGTATTGATATTGTTGTTGCTATTAGTGATCATATGAATGATATTGGTTGTCTCATTGCTCGTATTCGTATCAGTTTCATTCTTATGATTATTACTAATGGTATCGTCATTGTTATTCAGAATACGATCAATACTCTTCTTTTCTTTATAATACATACTATAATGTTTTTGAACATAAAAACTATCATTAGTCTTACATGTTCTTCTTATCTGCCCCCTCATCCTCATCCTCCTCCTCGCCTTCCTCCTCCTCTTCCGCCTACTCCTCCGCCTCCTCCTCGTCCCTCGCTCCCTCCCTCCCTCCCTCGTCCTCCTCCTCCGCCTCCTCCTCCTCCGCCGCCTCCCCCTCCTCTTCCACTGCTGATGAGTCGTCTGATTCGTCGTTGTACTATGCGTATTAGCATCATTCGCTTTATGAGTAAACGTCTTTCCATAAGAAGAAATGACTATTGAAATGTTGACTGGTATGATTACTGGTACTGTTATTATTAATAGATTAGTAGCATGGCTGTGGTTATTAAAATATATGATGAATCGTAGCGTGATTAGTAATAGCACTAGTACTATTATGACTAGCATCGTATTATTACTACTAT